TTAATTTAAATATTCACAATATTTTTTATTTAAAGCTATTCGATATCGATCGTACATATATGATTATAGAACCATCAATAAATTCGACAAATTCTGTTCAGTCTTTACTGGAAAAAATGGTATAATTAACATCTCTTTGCGTTATTTTATGGCATTAAAACTGATAACTGACGTTTACCAATTCTTCAATAAATACAAAACAAAAAATATGATTAGATTTCTTAGTCTGCGAGCATTTCTAATAGTTTTATCTATTCTATTTAAATAAAAAGATGATTTAGAAAAAAAACAAAACAAACCATGTGGATTATTAAGTGATGGATGACGTTGATTTGCACTTGTATTTAAATTACGAAAATCAAGTAAATACGATCGATGATCAACTTGATATAATTGAAGACCCAATTTAACCTTAAAAGAATAGAAGATTATCGTTATAATAAGCACTGGTGGTTCAGTGGTAGAATGCTCGCTTGCCACGCGGGCGACCCGGGTCCGATTCCCGGCCAGTGCACTTTTCTTTTTATTATTATTGATACTTACATATCGATTTGTATTAGCCACTTTTCGACGAGTTCGAACACTATACATGCTATTATTACAAAATTTCCATTCCTTTGAAAAAATAATATTAATTTTATATTTTCAATTTTTATGTTTTGTTTAAATTTTTACAAACCATTCCTAAATCTTTCATTGCTTTAAATACTTCATTCATAATATCTTGTGGTTTCGATTGAGATCGAATACCTAAATGCCATTTAGCTTTTTTTAATGATGCAGCATTTGATCCTGTTGTTGTTGGAGTTAAAGATTTTTTATTTTGAGAATTATTTAATGAAGAATTATTTGAATCCAGTGGATCTAATGTTACACTTAGATCTTTTAATGCTAAATATAAAGAAAAAGAAGTTTAGTTTTATTTGAAAATATTTTTTAAGAAAAATATATTAACCAGGCATTTTTTCTGGATGTACCCGAACTGATGTTGGTTTCTATTTAGAAAAAATAAAGACATAAATATATTATAAAATATTTTATTAGATTTTTAAGCAATCAAAATCAAGAAGATAACTTATAAAGATTAATTGTAAATAGTATACAACCTGTGTAGGATAAACTGGTTTTTGAAACTTTTTTTTATATACATCAAGATAAAATCAAATAATTCTTAGGAAACATTTAATTTAACTTACAAATGGTGATGGAGATCGAGCAGATGTTGAATTTGACTAAAAGATTTAAATATATATATATATATATAAATTTTTTCAAATAATTCTTTAAAACATACACTCATTGATAAAAATGCTGAATGCGGTGGACTTGATGCAGCAAAAAAGTCTGTTATTTCAACTTTTCGTGCTAAAAAGAATTTTTTCTATAAATAATTACACAAAAGAAAAAACAAACCTTCATTCCATATTCGTTTATTATCAATTATTAAATGATAAGCAATACCAAGTTGATCATGAGGATCATTGATCATTAATGCATCTTGAACTTCGGATTCTGTTACATTAAATTTCTTTAAATCGAAAAAAATTTATTTTATTTTTATGTTCTAAATAGATTTAATTTCATTTACCTCACAAACTTCTTGTATTGCATCAAGATCAATTATATTTGTACTTTCTTCGCATGTTTTCGGAAAGAGATAATCAGGTAAATTTACTTTGAACCAGTCATGCTCACTTTTATATTTGACAAATATAAAAAAAATAATTAAAAAGAAATTAATTTACCGAATCTCTTTTATTGTTGCACGACGAACAGGATCAACTGTAAGCATCTTTTGAAGAAGATCAACTACTGATGGATTTAAATAATCAGGAATTGGAAATATTCCAGCTAAAATATTTTAGATAAGTTTTATTTTCAAATTAAATTTCTACTTATATGGTAATATGAAAAATAGATGATGATCATCAACATCATTTCTCTAGAGACATTGTAAAATAATTTATTCTAATAACATTAATTGTATCTTTGAGATATTTAGAAATCGATTAAATATAATGAAACAACTACGTTGTTTAATTCTTTCTCATAGTACTGTCAGTTCATTCCGCCCTTTATTCTTTATCTCAACCAGACAGAAATGTTCCCCACATATTTCAATTGAGAAAAATTCTTCTTTATCATTCTATTCTTTTGAAACGAAACATACTCTATATGATCATGTGATGTAAAACGTGATTTTTCTTATACTTACATCGAATTTTTTTAAATAATATCTGAACATTATCGTCATCAAAAGGCAACTAAATATTTTCATAAAAAATATCAAATAAAATTTAAAATATAAACTTACAGTTCCTGTTAATAAAGCATAAAGAATAACTCCACAACTCCATATGTCAACTTCTTGACCAGCATAAAGTCTATTAGAGATTTTTAAGAAGAAAAAAAATGTTAATAAATTAAATAAAACTTTGTATAACTTACTCTCCAGATACAACTTCTGGTGCTGCATAATTTGGTGAACCACAAGATGTTTTTAATAATTCCCCATCTTTCATCATATTTGATAAACCTAATTTAAATCAAAAGAATATTTTTTTAATTTATAACAAAATAAATTACCAAAATCAGCTATTTTAACATGTGATGCATCATCAAGAAGAAGATTTTCTGGTCTAAATATTGATAAATTCATTTGAAATTATACTTTTATCAAAAACAAATGTTTTACTTTAAATCTCGATGTACCTAAATAAAAATCAATTAAAACAATAAATTTTAATAAATTAATTTCGAAAACATACCACCATATGACGATGACAATAATCGACACCGGATATTATTTGTTGAAAAAATGGACGAGCTTCAGCTTCAGTTAACTATTTTATTATATTTTTAAATAATAAAAAATATATTTTTTTTAAAACTTAATTTTCAATCATTACTTTTCCTTTTTTAACAATATAATCAAATAATTCCCCACCGGATACATATTCCATAACCATAAATATATCAGTTGGTGTACTTATTACTTGATATCTAATTAAAATATAAATTTATATTATTTTTTTTATAAAATCAAATCTTTTTTTCTCTTACAATTTAATAATATGTGGATGTCGAAAAAGTCTTAAATTTTGAATTTCTCGTCGAATTTTTCCAACAACATCTAATTGTTTTATTTTAGTACGATTAACTATTTTAATTGCAACTGTATGTCTTGTCAATTGATGATACGCTTCTATTAAAGAAATATTTTTATTTATTATTAATATTAAATAAGAAAATAAAATATACTTTTAACTTTGCCAAAACTTCCTGTTCCAAGTGTTTCATTAAGAATATAATGACCAATTCGTATAACTCCAACATCTGTGGATGGACCATTTGAATTAATGGCAGCTTGATTTTCTTTTTTCTTACGTTTATATTTATCCTATTATCAGAAAAAAACAAATAACAATAAAATTAAGTCCAAAGATTATAATCGATTTTTCTATACATACAATAACCGAAGACATGATTTTATAAATATATTAAATAGAATCTGAAAACATAATATTAATGGATAAATTACAAAAATAAAATTATTTCATATGAGTAACTTGAGGTAAATGCGCCATTAGGACCCTTTTATATAAATAACGACTGTGGTATAGTATGTGCGTAACTAACAAAATTATGTTGCACTAATGATGACTCATCGATATGAAGCAATGCTTCTTACCATCTTCTTCTTTACCAATCAGTTTTATTCTATGAATATAAATATTATTTCATATAGTGACCTCTTTTTTTTTCTAGTTATCTATTTTTTTTTCTCGAAATTGTATGTTGAAACCTCCTTCAATACAAGATATGCTAGGAAATTTTTACGACGTATTTGTTCACTGCGTCATTTCTCGTGAAACCCCTTTAAGAAAAAAAATAAAAAGTCATGGGAAAAAAAGAATCACAAAAAATTGAAGTAGTTTAATAAAAGAGTAATTCGTCATAATAATAATAAAGTCGTAGTTTTTTTTCCGAACGACAAATGTCAATATTGGTTGGATAATAAAATTTTAGCATTTAGTAAATATTTATAGTAAAAGAAAACTCATCGATACTTATTAGAGAGTTTGTCAAATTTTAATAATATCCTATGATCACTATTTAAATTTAATATCTTTATTTAAAAATAATTTCAACTATCTATAATTCTATTTAACTAACAATAAATAAATGAATTCCATCATGTTTGCTAAGATGTATTTTGTAAATCGAGTACTATATAATATAAAAGTGTTTGTATAGTTCTAAAATCTTATAAAAAAAGATTTCTTTGTTCGTGTATATATATAGTATTTTTTACGCCTAATGTCATATTATTGTGTTTATTTAAATAATCATTATAAACTAGGTATACGAATTTTAGATGCAAAAAAATCTGCAAATCATGTAAAACAGGCATTTAATAGTAAATTAGCATAAACAGATGGGTGATTAAAAGGAAATTTATTTCAAAAGAAAAAAAAACCAGTCATATATAATTATTAATATTCTTCGTTCTACAATATTCATAAATCAAATGAGTCTTTATATTTGACAACTTTTTTATTTTTATTATCGAATGAATATTAATAGAACTTATAAAACTCTTAATAATAGTCAATAATAATTTGAATACAAATACAATATCTACAAATGAAATTC